ATCCTTCCAAGGAGTGGCTGATGAGTTTGAACTGCCAGCCTTCTGGTTAGCCATCAAATGCCTTAGGCACTATGCTACCAGATAGACACAAGGTTATTCTAAAAATTTGGTATGGAATACAAAAGAACTAGAAGAGATAAAAACAGTTTTGAAAAAGAAGAATCACTCAACCCAACTTATTTTTTAGCATCCGTAATCCAATAATGATATTGGCTAAGGGATAAGTACATAGAATAATGGGACAGAATAAAGACCCTAGAAATAATCCAATGCAAGCGCAGCCAACTGATTCTGACAAATGTACAAAAGCAATTTATGGGGGATAGATAGTTGTGGGGTTTTTTTAAAACAAAATGACGCTACATCATTTAAGTGTATGTAGACAAAGACATGAACCTTGACCTAAACTTCACACATTCTACAAAAATTAATTCAACTATGTTCATAAATTTAAATGTAAAAGAGTAAAACATTTGGAAGAAAATATTGGAGAAAATCTTTGGAAACTAGGGTGAAGAGTTCTTAGACATCATATAAAAGCATGATCCATTAAAGGAAAAGTTGATAAATTATATTCTATCAATTGTGAAAAAAATACTTTGGAGGATAAGCAGACAACCTACAAATTGGGAGACAGCACTTACAGCCAAACTGTTTTACAAATGAGTTGTATTTGTGATGCTTAAAGACTCCTCATAACTTGGTAGTAAGAAAAAAAAAAAAAAAGTAGAAATGGACAAAATACATGAAGAGACGTTTCTCCAAAAATGATATATAGATGGTAATTATACACATGAGAAGATGTTCAACATCACTAGCCATTAGAGAAATGCACAGTAAGAGCAAAATCATATATCATTTCATACCTATTCACCAAAAAACAAAACTCATTGCCATTGAGTTAGATTTGATTCATAGCGACCCCTTCATGGGTTTCTGAGGTGGTATCTCTATGGAAGTAGATGGCCCAATCTTCCTTCTGAAGAGTGGCTGGTGGGTTTGAACCGCCAGGCTTCTAGTTAGCAGTCAAATGCCTTAGGCACTACGCCACCAGTGCTCCCTCATACCTATTAGAACACCTAAAAAGTAATAACAGTAATACCAAATGCAGTGAGAATAATGAGAAACTGGATTTCTTATATACTGCAGGTGGGTATGTAAAATGGTACAGCCACTCTGAAAAAAACTGTTGATGTTTCTTTGGGGGGGGGGGAAACTAAGTAATTCACTTATCATGTGTAACTCAATATCATACTTTTGGGCATTTATCCCACAGAAAAAAAAAGTTGCTATCCCATAGCAACTTTATCAGTTTTATTAGTACTGGATTGACGTAGTGGCTGCAACAAGGAGCTCAAACATAGCAATGTTTGTGAAGATGGCTCAGAACCAGACAGTGTTTCATTCTGTTGTACACAGGGTCTCTATGAGCTGGAACCAACTCAATGACAGCTAATAATAGCAACATTAGTCTCCAAAACCAGGAACAACCAAACTACCCTACAATAGATGAATGGTTAAACTGTAGTACATCTTTGCCATGGAGTACTACCCAGCAATAAAAAAGGAATGAATTTGATACATGTAATAACTTGGATGAATTATGCTAAATGAAAAAAGCTACTCTCGAAAGGTCATATAATTTATAACTCTATTTTCACAAGACTGTTGAGATGACAAAATTATGGAGAGGGAGAAAAAAATGAGTGGTTGCCAATGGTTTTGGACTTTGAGGAGGGAGTGGAGGTAACTTTAAAGAGCAGAGATCTTAGGGGTGAAGGAATAGAATAGCTCTATACAATTGCATTATTTCTTATCTAAATGTACATGTGATAAAATGACATACACACACATATTTTACTAATGTCATTTTCCCCTTTTTGATACTGTACTATAATTATTTAATAAGTAACCATTGGAGAAATTGGGTGAAGTTACATGTAATTTCTCTGCACTATCTTTGCAAATACCTATCAATCTATAATTATTTCTAAATGAAAAACTGACAAATTGATTTTTCCCACTGACTTGCAAATACCCTGAAAATAGTAACTCAACATTGCACTCAATTTTTAGAAGACAAATTAGTAATAGAATACACATGCAGGTTTTGGACTGAGGCAGGGATAGCTTGAATCAATGAACTGAACAAGTTTATATTTGTGATGAATGTTTCCACCTTTACAAGACAGAATAATATGTAGAAATTTTGTGTTTACTGTTTCAAATAGTGGCTAAGGCACTTGACTGCTAACCAGAAGCTGGCAGTTCAAACCCACCAGCCATTCCTTGGAAGTAAGATGGGGCAATCTACTTCCGTAGTGATACTGCCTCAGAAACCTAAGGAGGGGTCGCTATAAGTCGGGTCCGACTCAGCGGCACATAGCAACAACAACATGCTTTCAAAAAGGAGTTCTCGTGATGTAGTGGTTAAAGCTACTAACAGCTTTAACTTTAATAGCTTTTGGTTAGCAACAGTTTAGCTGCTAACCAAAATGTCAGTAGTTAGAACCCATCAGCTGCTCTGCAGGAGAAAGATGAAGCAGTTTGCTTCCATAAAGACTTAACAGTTTTTGAAACCCTGTGGAAGTTGCTCTGAGTTGGAATTGACCTGATGGTGGTAGGTTTAGTTTTTTTGGATACCTTCAAAAGTCCTGTGCTTTCATGGTTCCATAAACTTTTAAAAGGCTAATTTCTATAGTATTAACACTGATCAATAAATATTGGTCATCATTGAACATTGCTATAATGTTTTTAGAGATCCAGAAAATTCATGTGAATTGAAAATATAGCTATGGTATATTAAATGTGTGAAATGATCACTAGAAGGTAGGTAAAAAATTAATAACATATCCAGCACTTACTGATAACTTCCCATCTATTATTTTTCTCACTCTGAGGAAATTTTGGCATCCAAATGTTAAATAACTGTTCATCTTTATATAGTTTTACATAATTGAAAAAAAAAGTTATAAGGAAATGTTGTCACATCTATTAAGTGTTGTAGCTGGGATTCTGAACCCACGTATTATGCTTGCTTTCTTAAGGACTCTACATATTACTTCTCTAAGCATACTGTTGAGGAGCTCTGGCAGCGTAGTGCCTAAGGCACTTGACTGCTAACCAGAAGCCTGGCGGTTCAAACCCACCGGCCACTCTTCAGAAGGAAGATTGTGCCATCTACTTCCATAGCGATACTGCCTTGGAAACCCAAGGAGGGGTCGCTATGAGTCGAGTGCTACTGGACGTCATATAACAACAACAACAAACATACTGTTTTTTTTTTTTTTAAAAAAAACTCTGATTAGAAGATTTTTTTGTTTTTGCTTTTCTTCTCCTGAATTTCAGTCCCTCAATCATTGTTCCTTATGTTCAAAATATTCAGGATGGGGACTTAGGTTCTGTGATGATTCAGTAAGTCTTCTGAATATTGTCACACTTGTTACAGCAAGTGGAAGTTTGGGTCTTTTATTCATTAATTCATCTCTTTCTATTTTATACCATTTCATTCCATTTCTTACTTTTTGGAGTCAGAGAAGGTCTCAGCCTAAAACATGTAAACACTTACTACAGATATTTGAAGAGGAAAGTATATAATTGAGAACAGCACAGATTCTGCATTAAGGTCGGTGAGAAATTAGTATGAAGAAATCTGTTATTTCACATTTTGCAAATTGAAGACAGAACCACAGATTTTGATTGGAAAGTCAGAGAAAAATTATTTTTCCTAAAGTGAGAGGTTTTAAAGTGGTTTTAAAAAGCCTGGTTGCTTTTGGAATATTTAATAACACTCTTTTCTTGTACCATCCTATGAGTAAAACAACTGACTTTTCTCTAGGATAATTGAGAAGTCTATATCAAGTGAAACTCACAATTTATTTATTATATCTTAAAGGCAAAAATATTGCTATATAGGCAGTACACACAGTATATTACCAGAGATGGCTAATTTAGAATTGAGTGATTAAGATATTCACTTGATTTTTCTTTTTTTTTTTTTTGATACCTCATGTATTTGGATATGTTAATGGAACTCATTCAGTGTCCACAAGTAAACACAATCACATGTAAGTGAAATAGAGTATTGAGCATATATTCACTCTTGGAGACTTTCAGTCTTCCTAGAGCTCTTCCCACTTCTTTCAGTATAACTTTACCACCACAAATACCCTTTGATTAGTCTTTGAATATGTGTACAGAATTTCTTTTCTGCTATTTTCAAAATCGATTTGTTCAACATCACCTGGGCATAATGAGATGCTGGTTGTGATTTGCCAAAGATCAAGTAAGTGAATTCCCAGTCTGGGCATGTGTTGTCGGTCACTCTTATGGGCTGTTCCCACTCTGTAGCTCTTCACAGTATCTGTCACTGGAAACTGCTGAGAAGTGACTGGGTGTGATCTCAGGAGCATATGCTGTGGTGGTGTTGCTTGTTGTGGAGCACAAGGATTTGAAATTCTCCATACACCAAGCGAGGCAATGCTCACTATTGCCTTCGTCATAAATTAATGTGTGTGCACGTGTGTTTATGGATGTATGGCTTATTCTTGGTTATAAGTGCAACTTACAAAATATTTATTAATTTCAAACAAATGTTGACAGGCATGTAATAGCCAATCAATTATACCCTTTCTGGTCCTGTTCAGGATTTCACATCATTGAGAGATTACAATTCCTTATAATTTCTCTGGAACGGTTCTTAATCATCTTGGGGGTCACAAATATATTTTAACAATTTGATCAAATTAGATCTAAAATTCTCATTTCCCTCTCTTACACATCACACACACACACACACTTATGAACATATATGCATGTGTAACATACATACATGCAAAGTTTTGCATACAATTTTAGGTGTTTTGTAACTCCCCTAAGTTCCTAGGTTAGTATTTCTGCCTGGAGAACCTAGAATTTTTGTTAGGAGAGAGTAAAGCCTCACCCACCCCATTTGCATTATTATTAACAATCTTGTGTCTTCCCTACAATCCTATTTGCAGAGCCTGAGCAGCAGAGAAACCAGCTTTCTCATCAGGGAACAAACAGGGGTAAGCAGCACACAGTACTATACTTTCTTGCATGGACACAATTGGATACCTTTTTCTAGTATGCAATGGTGATGCTGTCTCTCAAGTTCATGATTATTTTTGGGGTCAAATACCTGGTATTTGCCTAATTTGGTTAAAACAAAAAAAGTAACGTCAGACATATTAATGAGAAGTGGCAGGTGAAGTATAGCATTTTGCTTATATTTTAATTTCCCAGTTTTACAAATGAGAAAACGAAGGGTCTAAGGAGTTTGATGACTTGACCAAGGTTATCAATACATTAAAGATGCAGATCCTGGACTAAAACTCAAGTTTCTGAGACCTACTTCAGTATTCTTTCTCTCTTACTATAAATGCTTAAACCAAAAAAAAAAAAAAAAA